GTTGGGGTGTTTATGCTGTACACCCAAACATCTGGCAAATCTCTTGGTCATTAGGGTCGTGTTGGTGGTGGGGGATTGGAGGAGTGTACGATTGTAGGAAAAAGTGCAGCAGGAAAGTCAATTAAATGCCATGAATGGGAAAGAGGGGAAAAGCCTCTCGACAGATGTTGGCTGGAGGAACGCATTGCCGATGAGAGAGAGATCTAAGTTTGTAAATCTTTTGAGGCTATGGAAACTATAGATAGTTTCTCTAGAGATATAAATATGTGGATTCGTTGCACAACTTTCCATAAGCGAATGGAGTAGAATGAGTTTTAAGAAGGGTTCTAATTTTATTTGAAAGACATGAAGATATATTCCTGGTAGTTTACAAATCTTTAAGAGCTTCCATTTGTATACAAAATATCTGCAATTAATGCATAACTTTCGCAAGGATTTTAAAGATCTTAAAAGCTTCCATTCCCATTTAATCTAACTCGTTTATGTCCCTCTGCAATCTCCAATCAGTCGCTGGACAAAAAAAAAAAAAAACCAAAAAAAAACCATTTCCGCGACAACAAAGACTTTGCTATCTGCTGTCTGACTGCAGCTCCCTGTGGCAGGAGTCGCTTCTGACCAGAGCATTGACTCATTCAGTGGTGCAGCCAGTGCCTGGATTTTCTATTTTGTTTGCACACAAGTCCGAGACGAAGGCAGCGGAGGCACCCAAAACCAACAACATCGTAGTACGAGAGTCATGTCAACGTCAAGTTTGTTGACTTGTCCGCCAACCTGCCACCGAAAGTGGAGTGCAGCAACAACAGCAAGGGGCACACACCAACCAGCAACAAAGTTGGTGAAAACTTCCGCCAAAGCCATTGCCAGGCAAGAGGCAGACGTCCGAAACGAGCTACGGATGTCAGAGAGCTGCATAAATCGTTGGGGCAGCCCGCTCCCTGCCTCACGCTTGGGATCGGCTGCATGCACCACCTCCCCACCCACCTAAAAAAGATAGTGCATCTCCTCCCTCCTCTTCCATCGAAAGCTGTTCATAAAAGTGCAATTTATTAGCATACAAAGTACGTCGTCGTCGTCGTTGTCTAGGCATTGGTCAAGGAGACGGAGACGAAGACGTAGATGTATCCACGGACACGAAGGCGGCCTCTTGAATCTGGTCTCTAGAGTGGAGTGGCCAGTGGCAGTGCCAGTTGCAGTGGCAGTGCCTGGAGAGAGACGGAGAGAGAGAGAGAGTGTAGGGCGGGTTCCATTTGGAGTGTAGGTTCGGTTCTTCTGCTTTGGCCATGAATTGACAGAGGAAAATGTTCTACCATTTCCAGTTTGCTGCACTCTTTTCCCATGTATTTCCATTGTAGAGATTTGTATCTAACTTCCAGTTCCTTGTTCTCATATAATTATTATCATATGCTCTAGACAGAAAAACACTAAAAATCTGTGAGATCTTCCATGAAAAGTGTCATAGGGATGGGGCTTCTGGGTAGTTTCATTTCCCTTTCAACTTTTGCCATAATAATAATTTTGTGCGCTTCAAAGTTGAATGCATTCCATACATACGTCCCGTCCCAGCACCTTTTTTTTTTGGGTAGAGTTCCCCACTGATTTGATTCGAATTTCATTGCTCACTGACGACTCTCTATGCCCCGCGGCCCTCCGGTGGTCATCATTTTGGGGTCAGACGTCACGTACATACATAGGCCGAGCAAATGTCCAAAAAAAGGAAAAACCACAAGGAAAACTCCTTTACGCCCGATCTGAGGCCCTAATCAAAGTCTGGGATATGGTACTACGTGACGCATTGAGGCGTAGATAAAATCAACATATAAACATAAAGAGATTGAGGGGGCATGCTACACATGTGGTGGCATGGTGGCACATGGAGGAAGCAGCACACGCTTGAAGCTTGACAAACTGTGACGACGACAAATGAATGGAATGAATGGTCATGAAAGAAGGAGGAATGGCAAAGGAAGGGTGGAAGGGAGGATGTCTGGAAGGGAGCTGCAGCTTGTAGACAAAAGAAATGTTTAATTAGCAACTAAACAGAGGGAAGCTACTCTTTGGGGAGGGGAAAGTTTGCCCCTCTTTTTTGTCGTTGCTTTTTCGAAGAGGGAAAAAAGTTCAAAGTTTTCTTCAGTTGCTAGTTATTCCAATTATAATTACAAGCCATGCAAACGCATAATTATAAAACGAAAGAAAAGGGAAAACTTCAACAAATATCAAAGACTATAATCTTCTGCTTAGATTCTTTTAAAGTATCTTTAGTACTTTCTCATCGTTAAATTGTCAGTTGAAAGGCTTATACTGACTTAATCTTGATAACCTAACCTTTTCGAATGTCTAATATTTTGCAACGCAATGGGGGAATCTTTGGGGAACGGATCGCCCCACAGGGTGAATCATTTCATATGCAAATAACCCAAGAATTCTTATCAAACAATAAACAAAAGAAGAAAGAGTAGAAGAAAGTATACGAAACATAAACAGAAACGCACAAGAATATCGGAGAGAACAAAAAAACATTTGACATTAGTCAGAGATTTTCGGGGTCACTGGGACAAAGAGACGGAGCGCAGATACGAAAACAAAGATAGAAGAAATATATACAGCAAAACAAAACTCGTTTTTTATTTGCGCGAAAGATGAATTTAACTAGAAATTACCAGACAATAAAGGTGTTTGAATGAATTAAAGATTGAGTTCGTGAATTTCAAGAATTCATGAATGAAAGAAGCAGAGTTCTGGTAGGAAGAGAGATTTGTAGCTGAAATCTTGAACGATTGACCTATCGATTAGCTAATCTGTATAAGGTTTACGCTGTCGTGTCGCCTTCTCGCCTGTTGTTAAACTGAGGCCTAAATTTGGACACTTTGTTGTGGCGCAACGGATCGATCATTGCTATCTCAACCGGGGGGATCAGGGACATAGCCTATGGAAAACAAGTATTCTGTGGTTTTCATTCTAGAAATCAATTATTCCATGCTTAAATATTTGAGTTCCCAAAAGTTCTATAACCGTATAGAGGTCGATGTATAACAATTTATACATATGTAAACAGTATAGAAATGGATTTATGCATAATAAATTCGATATGCATTTCTGCACCATCTGCGCCATTCCAATCTTTATTTTTGTTTGTTCTTTCTTTTCAGGTATATTCCCTCCCACCGAGCCGGGTCGTTTAATGTTTTCACAGGTAGAAAGGTAATAAATAAAAGTCAAGCAACTTTGTTGAATAACAGTTACCGCTCTTTCGCCTAAAAGTAGGAAACAATAGCAGCAAAAACCAAAGCAAACATACTAAATCGAACGGAAGCAAAAGTGAAAAGAAATAGACAAAAACCGATGTCGCTCCACTGACGCGGACTTGCTCACGCTCTTCTTTTTGCTCTTATGTAAAACTGTATGTGCACTCTCTCGAAATGCACTGGGGCACTGCTGCTCTCTTACCTGGGTATGCAATTGGGGGGCGTCCGATCCACCTCCCAGGCGGCAAACAGTTTCATGGGCACCGGCTTCTGTCCATTCGAGCCGCTGCTGATCCCGCCGCCCGATCCACCGATGCCCGACAAGGCAGCTGCTGGGTGGCCAGGTGTGCCACCCGAGGGGGGCAATCCACTGCCTGGCATGATGGGTAGGCCGCCCACTCCTCCTCCTCCAGCACCACTGATAACAGCAAATTTATCGACCAGTTTCGATGATTTATCGACCATCTTCATGTTGGTTTGAGAGTGTCTTTCTGTTAATTTCTATCACATATGTATAACTGTTGTTTGGTTTGACAATTTTTTCAAAATTCAAGTTGATATTTGCTGATTTGAATATTTTTCCAATTGGAATGGATGCTGCTGCTCCTGATGCATCTCCTTTTTCTAGTGCTGCCGCCGCTGCTGCTGCTGTTGGGGCAATACACACACACACTCAAACACTTGCGCGCACACAATGAAAGGGCGTGCCGCTGCCTGGGCCGAGCCGAAACGAAACGCGAACACACCGAGAGAGAGTGAGAAAGACAGTGTGGGAGTATATGTTGGGGCTGCGATATACTGCCGATGCTGCGACTGCTGCTGCACTCACTCCTGCACAGAATCAATACACACGGGAATCTGTTGCGGATTACACTTCTCCTCGGGAACGGTAACCGAATCGTAATCGGTTTCGGGACTGCTGCTGCGCTGCTGCTGCTGCTGCAGCCAGGCGTCACGTAGTTCGCGTTTATGCGGGTGTTTTTTTAGCTGCTGCGCGCGAGAGACAACCGTCATGCTCCAAAGTGGCGTTGCAAATGTCGCTTTATAAATCTCATAGTCGGGCCCCAACACTTCGCACACACAAACACATACACTCGCAAAAATCTAAAGAGCGAAGAGAGCGAGCTGCTGTTTGCTCCAACATACAGAAAACCACACACACACTAGCCTGATTTTGCAAATTTTCGTATATGCATGCGAGTGGATCTGAGTGTGTGTACCTATTCGCGCATTTTATGCTCTCTTGCCCGCAAAAAAGAAGCGCCAAGAGCAACAAGATACACTAAACAACAACTCTCTCTCACTCTCCCGTTCTCTCTTTTATTGATATATATACATCGAATATTTACAATTGGCAACGCGGCACAATTTGTTTATGTTTCATTTAAATTAAATATTTATGAAAATCAACAGCAGTGTGACGGATAGAGGTGGAGAAACATCGATAGTCGCCATAGAACACCGATGTTTCCAAAATGTTTAAAAATATCGATGCATCGATGTTTCGACGGCTATGAACACTCGATCGAAAGTGCCATATTTTTCGCTCTACAGTTACACTGTTTTGTGTTTGTTAACAAATATAATCAGCTAGTATTGTAAATTTTGTATTAAAACATGCAGAAATGGACTATTTGTGGGAATAGAGAAAGACACGCAATGTGAAGACAAGTTAGGTTTAAAAATATATACTTACGCGCTCTCAAGTAAATACACTAACTAACACTGGTTAGGGATGGTCGCGTGAGCATTTCCCATTTCTGATGCTTTCCCATCTCTACTTCTTTTAAAAGGAAATTTAACTTTTGTCCGCAAAAGTTAAATTATTAAGCAATGGCCGATGCGTGGGATATAAAAACGCTTAAGACGAAGCGAAACACACTCCGCGAGAAGCTGGAGAAGCGGAAAAAGGAGCGGATCGAGATACTGTCCGACATACAGGAGGATCAAACGAATCCGAAAAAAGAGCTCGGTATGAAATTGCCATAAAAATGTAATAGTTATGATTTAATTCCTGTATCAATGCAGTTGAGGCTGACCTGGAGGTGCAGAAGGAAGTGCTGCAGGCATTGAGTGCCTGCTCCTTGGCCCTGCCCATCGTTTCGACGCAGGTTATGGAGAAGATTGCTGCTGCCGGCAGCAGCCTCGAAATGGTCAACTTTATTCTGGGAAAACTTGCCAACCAGGGCGCCATATCCATTCGAAATGTGACCATTGGCACGGAGGCGGGCTGTGAAATCATTTCGGTGCAGCCCAAGGAGCTAAAGGAGATTCTGGAGGACATTAACGACACCTGTCTGCAGAAGGAGGAGGAGGCCAAGCGAAAGTGTGAGTCTATCCATCCCGCCTTAGGACTCCACACAGTCGATCTATAATCCACCTCCACCCATTTGCAGTGGCAGAGCTTGTGGAGGCCGAAGAGGATATCCAACCTCTGGAAAAAACGATGAAGATTGATTGTTCCTCCCGCAAGGATGCCTCCAATGACATAATGATGCTGCTGTCGATGCCCTCCACTCGCGAGAAGCAGAGCAAACAGGTGGGCGAGGAGATCCTAGAGCTGTTGACAAAACCCACCGCCAAAGAGCGATCCGTGGCAGAGAAATTCAAGTCGCATGGCGGGGCACAGGTCATGGAGTTCTGCTCCCACGGCACCAAAGTGGAGTGCCTCAAGGCCCAGCAGGCCACTGCAGAGATGGCGGCCAAAAAAAAGCAGGAGCGTCTAGACGAGCAGGCACTGAGAGGAGAGGATGCGGGCGACAGCAGCAGCACAAAGCCACCAAAGGCCGGAACCCCCCTTGAAAGCACATCGGAAGATGGCGAAGTCATACCCGAAACGCTGACAAATTGCGAGGGCGAGTCCCAGGAGTCCACCGATGGGAGCGATGCCTCTGGCGAGACACGCGACAAGTGCACCAAGCTCCATTTCAAGAAGATCATACAGGCGCACACGGACGAGTCCCTGGGGGATTGCAGCTTCTTGAACACCTGCTTCCACATGGCCACCTGCAAGTATGTGCACTACGAGGTGGACACCCTGCCGCACATCAACACGAACAAGCCCACCGACGTGAAAACGAAGCTGAGCCTGAAGCGCAGCATTGACCCGAGCTGCACCTTGTACCCGCCGCAGTGGATTCAATGCGATCTGCGATTCCTCGACATGACCGTACTTGGAAAGTTTGCGGTAGTAATGGCCGATCCACCCTGGGACATACACATGGAGCTGCCGTATGGCACCATGTCCGACGATGAGATGCGTGCCTTGGGTGTGCCCGCGCTACAGGACGATGGCCTGATCTTTCTCTGGGTAACTGGGCGTGCCATGGAGTTGGGACGTGACTGCCTGAAGCTGTGGGGCTACGAGCGGGTGGATGAACTCATTTGGGTGAAGACGAACCAGCTGCAGCGCATCATCCGCACTGGACGCACCGGCCACTGGCTGAATCACGGCAAGGAGCACTGCCTGGTGGGCATGAAGGGCAATCCCACCAATCTGAATCGCGGCCTCGACTGCGATGTGATCGTTGCCGAAGTGCGCGCCACCTCCCACAAGCCGGACGAGATCTATGGCATCATCGAGCGCCTCAGTCCGGGCACACGCAAAATCGAACTCTTCGGCCGCCCGCACAACATTCAACCGAATTGGATAACGCTGGGCAATCAACTGGATGGCATACGCCTGGTCGATCCCGAGCTGATCACGCAATTCCAGAAGCGCTATCCCGATGGCAATTGCATGTCCCCTGCGGCGGCAGCCAATGCATCGGCCAGCATCAATGGCATTCAAAACTAAACTGTAACTAACATTAAGATAAACTCTAGGGATGGCAGCTAAACTTCGGAGTAAGAGCGCCGATGTTTGTATACCCATTGTCCAATAAATGTAGATCTTACCCGACCATGCGACGATGGATATACGTACTTAGACCTGCCTTTTCTACTAAGCCACACTGGGAGAGTCTAGAAACTTCTAGACTGCAACTGTCTATTCTTCCTATGATAGCTATGTGAGTATAGTTCTCTGATTTTTCTGATTCTGAAGAATGATCTGATAAGCCCGACTGTGAAAGAGAGAGGGAGATTGACGAACCGACCGAACGCGAGTAGGCAGGAGTAGTAAAAAATAGCGCACAACAGAATTGCAGTACCAAGACCACGCGCGCCCTTTGTTCCTGGTGCAATATCTCGATATTTTATAGTCTTTGCATTGTATGTCGAATATACATACACACATATATTGAATAAATAAATTGCTCTTCTTCTTTGCGCGTATATACAAGAGTGCGATAAATATCTATGTGTTTATAGTAGAACCAATAAATAACTAATTGTATAACTATGTTTATCTTCACATATATGCACAAAATGTGTGTGTGCATTCGTGGTAGAACTTATATCGGTAGAGCGAGAGAGAGTACATGGGTTTAAGTTATGGTTTATAGATATTAAGAAATGCTGCCCTTACGAGCCTGCCCCTGGAGCCGTCTTCTGGCTCTTCTCTAGAGGCCACTCTCTATGTGCCCTGGCGGCGTCTCCTGGCTCTCAGAAGTTTATTTACATGTCAGGAAACCAAAAACTTTCATCGTCTATCTGCCACTAGTTCTTTTCATTGCTTCGTAACAATAAATTTGGATTTAACATAAATTTCATTAAACAATTTAACTCCTTTTTGTTGTGTCTGTTGTTTTGTGTATTTTGCGCAGTTTCTTTATGTGTTTCCTGTCCTGTGTGACTGTTTGCCTGGCCTTCTTCTAGCGCGAATGTGAACCGGCAGCACTGAGGGTTTTCAGCACAATGAAACCAAGCATTGTGGCAGCTGCGACACCCAGACCGGCCTTCCACAACAACTTGTGATCCTCCGTCAAGAGTCCGAAATGCCGCAAATGTCTGTTGCCGGGACAAGAGAAAGGGAAAAAGGTCTTTGGATTAGTTGGATAAAACAGCGGATAAAGGAAAAGAAGAACAAATATTAATTAGAAGAGGCTTTAAACTACAGGCCGCAAACACCACGTTTTTAGTAAGCAGTGGAATCTTATGTAGAGTATCTTATGTATGTGGATCTCGAGTTGTGGCACCATGGTACAGATATACATATATATGGAAACAATACAGAGTGCTGACATTAGTAACAAGTTCAGTTTGAATGGTAAACACTTACGCCGATTCCCAAAGCTGTACCAACCTGTGCTTGTAGAACAGTATCCAGGCGGCTTGGAATCGCCTGCAGACGCCACCCACAGCCACCAAAGCCATCGCCGCAAAGCCACGAAGAATGGTAATCCAAGTAGACAAACATCGAACAATACACGAGAACAACAGTGAAACATAACCAAAAAAAATATATATACACAAAGGGGGTGGGAAGGAGGAGAAGAGAAGATAAAAATAAATAAAAACCATTAGCCATTTAATCTATAATTTAAGCCCAAATGTTACAATGTGCTGCCCCGAGGGAGTGGGCCCGGTTCCACAAGAGCCCATTCGTTGAACAATTATTCGCCTGAGCGAAAGGACTCCAAATCATGCGATTCATAGGAAAGTCATAGCAAATTTTAAATTCATTTAAATAAACCATTCGGTGTACTAAGATTTTTTATATAAAAAAATCCACAAACCCCAAACAATTGCGAACGCGAATTATTCATCCAATGGAACTGCGGTAGCATCCACACCCCCTCAGGTCATTGGTTAGTGTTCGATTGAGGTGATTTTTGTGTGTGGGTTTTTGGGTTAGATCTGTTACCCTGAACCACAATAGCCCCAAAAAAACATTCAACATTCAATTCCTTAAGAAAATACTCACGGAAAAGCGGCCATGGTGGCTAGCTTTGTGTACAGTTCCTTTTTGTTAGTCTTGAGGCTGAACAGATGGGGCGGTAGAAGTTTGTATTTCTCACAAAAGTCGGCGGGCTGCATGAGATAGTCCTGACGGCGCTCATCCATGTCGCACTTGGTGCCCACAATCATCACCGGAATCTTGCTCTCCGCATAGTATTTGATGTAGATGCGGGCCACATACTCAAAGGAACGGGGATTGGACGAGTCGAAGACGAGGCAGGCAACATCACAGTTCACCTCCTGCGGCTGCAGCGGATCGAGAGCATGCCTTACATCGATGTCGCGCAATATCAAGTGCTTCTCCTGACCATACACCTGCACCGAGTTGATGCAGTGCACGACATTCGTTTTGAATTCCTTGCCAATCAGTTTCTGCATCTCCTCGACGAGAAAGCCGCGGCACAGGCCTGTCTTTCCAGATCCATTGGGGCCGATGACGTGACACTTATAGACGGAGCGGCTGCTCTGCCGCTTGGCCAGATCGATGCGACGCTCACGTGTCACATGTATGGCCGCCAGCTGGCTGTCATTCTCGTGGACATTGAAGCCCAGATAGGCGAGGTATTCCATGGTCTTGACCACATCGATGAGCGTCATCAGAGTCCAGCGGCACAGCCAGCCATGCAGAGTGACCCAGCCATTGTCATTGATGGGACACGACTTGCGTATGTCCGTGGAGTACGACCAGGGCGAGGCGGGACACACGCTGAATAGCATCTTGTGTTCCTCGGGCGACAAAGCACCGTCACCATCGCGATCGTAGCGCTCAAAGACGGCAATCAGAAACTGTTGGCCGCGATGCGAGAGCTCTGTGCTGCTGCCAGGCGGAATCTTTAGCGGCGGACGCAAATACTCCTGGCACATCTCCAATTGATCGTTGTAGCCGAAGCGTCGCAGCACCGCCCAGGTGGTCTCGTTACGGCCGCGCTGTATGAACAGACAGTGGAGGAATAGGAAGCCCTTGAGCGTCACGGCATCGTTGTAGATGCCATCGGGCACGTTCTTCTGTATGACGGCCTTCACCTCGTCGAGTATCTGCGGCTGCAACGGTGTGTTGAAGCAGCGACGCTGGAATAGGTTCAGCTCGTAATCGTTCAGCAGATTGTCGCCATCGATATCGCATATCTTGAAAATTCGCACCAGCGACTTCTTGCAGGCGGGCGTCAGCTGCAGGGGAGAGGGAAAGGGGAATGTCACGTGTGTGCTTTGCCTGCTATTTGAACTATGAACTCACCTCTTGGTCTTCCATCATATAGAGGGGCGATGTGGGATGCAGCACCGCCTTTTGTGCGTAGTAAAACATTTCGGAAATGTTGTGCAACGTCTTGGCCGAGCACTCAACACAGCTCTCAATCTCTGGAAAGTCCTCCATGATGGCCAGCACACTGTCCATGGTTGAGTAATCTATCAAATCGATCTTATTGCCCACCAGAACAATTGGCTTGCGTAGACCCTCGCCGGCAGCCTCCGTCTCCGCCTCAGTCTCGGCATCACCATCCAATGACGCATGGCACTTGGAGCGTATAAATGGCAGCCAGTGCGAGGTGATGCGATCGAGGGAGTCATCGTCATCCACTGCATACACAATGCACACCACGTGTGCTTTGTTTATCTCCACGCCGAGGGTTTCCTCCGTCTGTTCGACGCTTGAAAAGTCCACAATGCTGGTGGGCACCTGCTCGGGCGTAACATTGGCCGGTATTGTGATCTCCTCGGCACGCGGCGGCACCTCCTCCGGATACTCCTCGCTCACCAGCGACAATATTAGGGACGTTTTTCCCACCCCGGCATCGCCGACCAGCAATATTCGTACATTCTTTCGCGTTGACGCTGTGTACTGGCCCATGCCTATAATCGAAACACACGACTTTCTGCCCTTCTCTCAATGTGTGTGCTACGCTTGCCTTAACCCGGAACGTTGCGGGTTACTTATCCTACTTATCCCGTCCTCGTCTGGTTGTTGCTGGTCAATAAATTACTTAAATTTTCGGAATTTGTTATGCAAAAATGGAGATGCAGTGCAGCTCAGCTGTTTTTATCAATCGATTTGTTATCGAAAGCGGGCTGCAAGACAACCCTATGAAATCCACAGTTGCCAGATCCAGCGAATTAGGTGTGAAAGGACTAAAAACTAGAATTACAAATTTCAAAAGTATAGAGTTATAAATGCAAATGCTGCTGTCTACAAATACAAACAGACTGAACGGGCACCTCAGTGGGACCACAGGCAGCGCTTGATATAGACCCACTGCTGCAGCAGAACCAAAAGCACGAGCGTCCACAGCTCGCTTGGGTCCTCTGGCAGCTTTGACGCGTTTGGTGCGCAGTATATTTATGGTTTATTTTGAAAATGATAAGGTATATTTGGGTATGTTTTTGAGGGTCAGACGGTATATTTGATGGACGTTGGGTGCTAGAGGTGTCAATAGTTTGGCATGTTTTGAAAAAAACAGTCGATAGTATCGGACTCATATAATTATTACCATTACTATTATTGCTATTAAACGCTATTTTTTAAGCAAAATAAGCAAATATTCTTCCAAATTGAACAGTTTATTCATACCCTAAAAATATAACTCTCAAAATATCAGTCTCAATATAATATAAAATATTTCATAGTTTTTTTTAATCCTTATGTACTAAGTTACTATTTGTTGTAATCGGTAATCCACGGATCTATGATCCGAAATAATTTGTCCGGCCTTTTAGTAACTTCCCATTGTAAAAATAAGATGCCACCAGTCGGTTTGTTTACAAATTTGTAATTTCGATACTATCATGATAGTCGCAAAACATCGATACTATCGATGGTGCCCTCGATGTTTTGACACCTCTAGTTGGGTGCTATAGAGCCCCCCCTGTCCTGTCCCCCAAAAAGTGATACAGTTTATAGCGCAATTGTTTAAAACTCGTTAAAAAATCGTCTATTTGCTTTTATGTCATACTTTGAAAGCGTTCCAGTGTCGCGTTTGCGTGTGTTTGTGTGCGCCAATTGGAAGCAAAGTCAGTCCTTTGCATAAATTTGCACGTTCGTCGCAGTGGGTGGAGAGGGTGAAGAGTGGAGCAAAACGGAGTGAGTGTGAGTGGGGGTCAAAGCTAGTAAGCGTGCTGCGGCGCGGAATCGATATCGATGGTACGCACCAAAAACCAGTCGTCCTCCTCCAGCGCCAGCAGCAGCCACAAATCTCCAATTAAATCGCACGGCGGCGGCGGATCAGCAGCCGCAGGAACAGCAGGCGGACATAACTTAAGCAGGTCGTCGTCGTCGCATCGAACATCGATCGATGACCGCAAGTCTGGCACGAACGTGTCGTCCTCCTCGAACCGCCGCACAACTCCGGGCAGCTCGCCGGACGGAGACGGTGACGACGACACCACCACCACCGATGATCTGACCCCAACATCAACGAGCGCGCCAAGAAGCAAAGTTGGCGGCACCTCTTCTGTGCACAAGCAGAACCTTTACGTCGTTTCATTTCCCATTATATTCCTATTCAACATTCTTCGCTCGCTGATTTATCAGCTGTTCTGCATTTTTCGCTACTTGTACGGCGCCAGCACAAAGGTGATTTACAGTCCCCACAGACGCGACTGCAACATCGAGATTGTTGTCCAAAACAACTCCAACAACAAGGATCAGCAGCACCAGCAACTAACGGCGAGTCAGTCCCTCAACTACCCCCTGGAGGTGACCAGCGGCGAGGCAGCGTCCGAGCAGCAAGTGCAGCAACCTCTGCCACAGCAACGCTATCGCGCACTTCAGCCCCTGGAAATGGCAGGGGCCAATCGATCTGGAGCAGGCTACTCCCCCGGCCCTGGAGATCCTTTGTTGGCCAAACAGAAGCATCACCATCGTCGAGCGTTCGAGTACATATCCAAGGCGCTCAAAATAGACGAAGAGAATGAAGGTGAGCATTGAGCGGTGAGCGCTGAGCGCTGGGGGTGCTTTCGAGTGCTCTCTATGAGTCATCGCCCCACTGGCTGGCGGCGGCTGTTCCGTCTGTGTACTGTGTGCTTGTGTGTATCTTTTGTTGTCTGTCGAGTGCAAATCAATAATCACAAAGACCGAAGAGTGAAATGTTCTGACATCGTTTCCTTTTCCTCCCGCCTGCAGGTCACAAAGAGCTGGCCATTGAGCTATATCGCAAGGGTATCAAGGAGCTCGAAGATGGCATTGCCGTCGATTGCTGGAGTGGTCGCGGCGATGTCTGGGACCGTGCCCAAAGGCTGCACGATAAAATGCAAACAAATCTTTCGATGGCCAGGGATCGTCTTCACTTTCTCGGTAAGTCGGTGCCGCAGGCGCATTCGTAAACCCTACAGGAATGATTTTTATTTTGTGTGTTTTCTGTTGATTTTTTTTTTATTTGCACTTTGTTGTTTTGTCCTCGCATTTCCTTTTGCGTTTGTCCATCAAATTGTCGCTGCCACAGCGCTGCGTGAGGAAGATTTCCAAATGCATCGTCTCTCGCTGAAGGAAAAACAGAAACCAAAACCAATTTATAGCCAGGAGCAGCAGCAACCCCACAAGCCACAGAAGGCCAGAGAAGCGGCGGCAATCAATCAGCCAATGCTGGCGAATCTCACCAATGATCCCGTCAAGCTGAAAACACGCAGCAGCGGCTATGGGCCAAAGAACGGTCATAGTACACCCAGAATCACTGTCACAGCCACAACACCGTCGTCGTCGTCATTGGGTAAGTTCTGTTGCAGTCCAGGCCTAAAAAGAGCCCAGCACCAACGCCAGAACCAGCGACACAGCGACAACAGATCGAGCTATCTATCTATCAATCACCCTCTCACTTTGCACTTTTATTTCGTTTCAATATTACTTTATGCTTGCCCCCAAATTGTAGCTTAAACAGAATTGTAGCTTTGCCCATTTGCCCTTCTGATCGTTTCCCATCTTTTCCTTAGCCTCCGGCCGAAAGCTGACAATCGGAACAAAGCGACCTGGAAACCTGGCCGTGGCCGCCAACAAGTCACAAACTTTGCCACGAAATCTTGGCTCAAAGACCTCCGTGGGGGCTGTGCGGCAGCCAGGCAAGACGGCAGCCACACCCCCCGCCGTGCGTCGACAGTTTGTAAGTGGCTCAAGGAGCGCATATCGAATTGCTTGACAAATCTCTCTATCATTATTACTCTGTCTACCATAGTCTTCCGGTCGCAATACACCGCCACAGCGTTCACGCACGCCCATCAACAACAATGGGGCCAGCGGCAGTGGCAGTGGCGCCAGCACACCTGTGGTGACTGTCAAGGGCGTGGAACAAAAACTGGTGCAGCTAATACTCGATGAGATTGTCGAGGGCGGTGCCAAGGTGGAGTGGACAGACATTGCCGGTCAGGAGGTGGCCAAGCAGGCGCTTCAAGAGATGGTCATACTGCCCTCCGTTCGTCCAGAACTCTTTACAGGTGCGTGGATGATAGTTTGAGTGATTCCCAGTACATATATCATTGCCTTTTTCTCCCTCTTGAGTGTAGGTTTGCGTGCCCCGGCCAAGGGTCTGCTGCTGTTCGGTCCGCCAGGCAATGGCAAGACATTGCTGGCCCGCGCCGTGGCCACCGAATGCAGTGCCACCTTTCTGAACATCTCGGCTGCCTCGCTGACCAGCAAATACGTGGGCGATGGGGAGAAACTGGTGCGTGCCTTGTTCGCCGTGGCCCGCCACTTGCAGCCCTCGATCATATTCATCGATGAGGTCGACTCGCTGCTCTCGGAGCGTAGCAGCGGCGAGCACGAGGCGTCGCGCCGCCTAAAGACCGAATTCCTAGTGGAGTTTGACGGTCTGCCCGGGAATCCCGATGGCGATCGCATTGTGGTGCTGGCCGCCACCAATAGGCCTCAAGAGCTGGACGAGGCCGCTTTGCGACGCTTCACCAAACGCGTCTATGTTTCACTGCCCGACGAGCAGACGCGCGAGCTGCTCTTGAATCGCTTACTGCAGAAGCAGGGCTCGCCGCTGGATACGGATGCTCTGCGGCGGTTGGCCAAGATCACGGACGGCTATTCTGGCTCCGATTTGACGGCCCTGGCCAAGGATGCTGCTCTCGAGCCCATACGCGAGCTGAATGTGGAGCAGGTCAAGTGTCTGGATATAAGCGCCATGCGTCACATCACCGAAAAGGATTTTCACAACTCTCTCAAGCGCATTCGTCGCTCTGTGGCACCGCAGAGCCTCAATTCGTATGAGAAATGGTCGCAGGACTATGGGGATATTACCATTTAAATGGGGCATCGGCTTCGTTCAGCGAAGAGGTTTGTCTGCCCTGTCACCAAAATCCTGTCCTGCCCTGCCCTGCCGTGCCCTGCTCCACGCTGTGATGTGAGTGACAGAACTTTCTCTCCCTTTTGCTGTATACCGCATTAGTTTCGAGATAATTCCATAGATCCTTAATTTTTACACGTTCCATTCAACCATTTGTTTTTGTAGGCTTACATTTTGTTTCACAAAACTTTGTTATTTGTATTTAACCAATGAATTATTGATTAATTTCTCGTTCTACCATGCAATCTGTGTGTTTTAGGCCTAAGATTTATATTGTATCTACCATATATGTATTTTCAAATGTTTTTAATGCGAGCGAGAACGCCCCACAACCCATTCAAGTTATAATCATTTAAACGCTAATGTATGCCTAAGAACAATCATTATACTAGCATTTGTTTCTAATCTTTTCAATGCCAAGACAGCAAGATGTTTGTTCGTGTATGGTACTGCTCTTTCCTAACATTTAATTTAGTACTAAGTAAATGTATTTCCATTTATTTCTGTGTCACAAGTTTCTTCCATTTGTCCATCCTTGAATCAATAGAACCAAAACCTTCTATTTTTGTTGTACATCATCCAGTCCAATTTAATCCAATCGAAACCATACGCTACACTTAATCTAGACATAAGCATAGCCTTAAGATGAAACACAACACAAAAAGCAAGGATCAGATTTAAGTTTTAGATCACACATCATCATCACACACTACTCTCTGTCTCTATCTGTCGATTGATAGATGGATGGATGGTGTTTAGTTTTAGTTCCTCTGTTTTCAATCAATCAATGTATGTACCTACCTACTGCAGCAGTCATAAATACAATCGTGTCTCCGAACAAACCATCTATAGATTAATCCCAATGTTTGTTATAACTAGAAGTTGCTCCTCCACACACGCCCCTACTATATACATACATACATACATATATATATATATATATATATATATTGTACAACAATCGGATGCTTATCGCGGTACTTTGAATTAGCTTTTATGCAGCCAACAGAATTTCAGTTTAAATTGTAGTTTACTGAACAACACACAGATCCAGAAAAATTACATGCATATATATACATACTCTATATATACATACTTACATAGATGTATATTAGTATATATAGAATACGCTAAATAAAATCGATTTCAACAGACATCATCAGGCTATTTCTTCAATCAGCTCGAACTGGATCTGCATCCAATTCTGGGATATACCGTACATATGTACATATAACCATTTCAAAACTTTGATTTAAAATTTATTCTAGCTAAAACCTAAACCATATCTAATGGTAGTTGTCATATTTCTCATGGGGTTTCTGTGGGCATATTCTCTCTATAGATTGAAGATTTATATTCCTGGAAATATGACCACTAAGAATTTTAATTTTAAATGTAGCTAGTACTTCGAATGTTTTCTCAAATTGGTGAAGGGGTGGTTTCTCATCTGATGCAATAAGTGCTCAAATCCCTGGCAGAACCTCCATCACAACCTATCAAGGGCCGTTGCTGCATGACGCGCGATGGTTTAACCGTAGGAAAGATGTGAGACTAATGATCCAGAAAAGTTAGAACTAAAAAGAGCTAAGAGTGCAGAAAAATTACAAATATTAAAACTAATTACGGCAAAGATATGCGAGTATTAGCATTAGATATCCGAGTACAGACAGAAAATAAAACCCTAAACGGCTCATATAAGCAATATTCTCATAAAATTTAAAGCTCATTCTCTCTCTCATATCATCTAGAATCTTCAACTATTAACCAATGTAAATACAAACCTCACTGTTGTCTTCTCTATAGATCGATAAACAGCATCTTCTAATTCGCATACCAATTTCATTTAAAAACTGTCTCATTTCATATAGAACGTTAATGGCAATTTTAACCAATGTATATAAGTAAGTTTAGCCCCACTATCTCTGTGGTATTCTCATGGTTTGCTGTAGAGACATCCTATCTCTTCTCTATAGATCCGAGCATGGGTAAACTTTACAATTTTATAATCTTTTTATAGTAGTTACTTAGTAGTTCGTTACTCAAAAGTTTAGATTTAGGACACACTCTCGTCGTTCTCTGTGGTTTTTCTCACTTCGTTTTATATATTTTTTTGTTTCTTTATTTTACAATTACATTACATATTTATATCGCATTTCGTTTTCCACATTGGAAATATACAATTACAATATGTGTGTGTGTGTGTTTTGCTCGAATTTACATTCTCTTAAGTGTCTAAATTTGTTTATGCTTTACTTTTCGACTCCACCGATGTGGGTGGTGTGGCTCATCCTCGCTGATCCAGTTGCCACTTGCCACTCTACATCCGACTACTCCTCCTTCGAAATCCATCGTTGACACATCATATGATCCACATTTTAGTTACGATTACAATTTGCTTTGTCACTTTATTCCGTTTCGATTGTATTTCATTTGTTGTTGTTTATTTGAACAAATTTGTTGTTGCCTATGGGTTGGTTTTTGTTTTTCTGTTTTTACTGTTTCTGTTGTATTTCTCATTTTTTATTTTTGTTTCCGCTTTCGTTTATACGCCTATATTTGCCTTAAATTACAAATCATTAAATTATTTTAACACGTACTTAGATTGGATTAGATTGTTACAGCTACCCCCCGAAATCGCCCAGAGCTTCAGTTGTCTGTCTATATGTCGGTCGGTCTGTCTGTCTGTCGTCCGTCTGCCTGCCTGCCTGCTCGCTTGCCGCCGCCCGTGGTTCAACTTTTAGTTCCACGAATTGCTTCGGGTCGGCCTTCATGTGTGGGGGGTATGATGAAAGAGCCCTCCACGAACGTAACGCCCGCCCCGCCTCGCCCGTTCGACCGCCACAATGACGCAAACGTCTCAAAAAAAACGTAGCCGTAGCCTGCAACCGCAACTAAAAATACCGCAAAATCCTACATCCCTAATCCCCTGCTGCCGTGAAAAAGAGGCTCGTGGAGAGGCTGATGTTGCTGTTGCTCTCATCGCTAGGGACTGGCAGAGGATGATACGACGGATGCTGCTGCTGCTCGGTTTTGGCAAGGACCTGGTATTCTAAGTAAGCTAAGGGTGCGTAATGCGCTAACAGCTGCAGCTGCGATTGCGATTGTGGCTGCACTGCTGCTGCCGGCAGACGTTCTTGGATGCAGCGGCTCCACGGATGTTGCAGACGGCGTCGAAGCGGGCGTCACAACTCAGTTCATTGGGTCTGATATTGTGGCATCGCGGCACTGTACATCATCTGGGGGGCAATTGAACCGTTTGCTGCTGCGGCCGCAGACGAGGCCGCCGACATGCCAGGGACCACAGTGCCAGGCACACCCCATGCCACATTCGGTGGCACCATGCGATACCCGGCAGCTGTAAAGATCATGCAAACGAATTAATACACAAAAGTGGAGGGGAGATAAAGAATGCGGCTCTACGTACGGACTCCTCCCGCCTGCTGGGCACTGGTCGTGTACGCGTAAGGATAGTAGCCCTGCTGCATATACTGCGTCTGCATTTGGGTGGTTGGATAAGCCTGCTGTTGTTTTGTTGTGGGGGAGAAAACATTTAACACCATTTAGCCTTGAGATATGTAGAGAAAACTTACTGCCGGAGGATACCAGTAGCCCATCTGTTGATAGGCGTATGGATACTGCGCTGTGGCAGCCGCCAGCTGTTGGGGCGTCATCATTTGGCCAGGTAACGCGGCACCAGTGGCCGCCGCTAACTGTTGCTGGGTCATCATTTGGCCTGGCAATGAGGCATTGACCGCCGCATTGGCGGCTGCCACGGCGGCCACATTTGCAGAGGCTGCTGCCGCTGCAGCGGCATTCATGTTGTTCATTGAGTTATCGCCGCCATTTTCCTTGCCCCAGAAGCATTTGACGAGATTGCCATGGACTTCGGTGTTGTGCGTGTGCTCGATGGCGTGCGCCGCCGAGTCCTTGGTCACGAATTTAATGAACGCAAAGCCCTTGTCCTTGAAGACACGCACATCCTGGATGGGACCGAACTGGCCAAAGTGTTTGTGCATCAGATCGTCGCTGATGACGTTCGGCGGAAAGCCGCCACAGTAGACTGTGGTATTGGTGGGGCTCGACTGATTATACACCTCCTCGAAGGTGTGCCGCTGGTTGCTCTTAACGCCGCCTCCATTCCCGGGCCCGCCACCCATGCCGCCGCCCAGGCCGCCACCCTTGGACGATTCTCGGGGTGGTGGGAGCTTGCGCGTGGACCAATTGGTGCGTATCGAACGCGAGCCAATCCATTGGCCATTCATTGCCTGTATTGCATTCTCTGCTTCGGCCTTCTTCACAAACGAAACGAAAGCATAGCCCTTGGACTTCATGGTCTGTGGATCGCGGACAATGCGACAGTTGGATATCTCCCCGAATGGTGCAAAGGCTTCGCGCAGCGTCTCCGTTTCGATTTCGGGACTTAGATCCCCAACGAATATGTGGTGATGGGAGCTAATGTCTGTCTTGGGCTGATTGCCAGGACTAGTGGCCCAGTTAACCTACAGGAATGGAAATGGAGAGAGACAGATTAGAATCGTGATGGGAGGGAGTAGATCGCGATCGAACCGATCTGGACGCACCTTGATTTCCTTGTCCAGAAAGAGGCGTTTGTTCATGGCGGTCAGGGCCGTGGAGGCTGCCTGATAGTTGGAATATTCGATGAAGGCATATGGGTCGTTGCCCGGTTCCCTTATAATTTTACAGCTCTTCACGGCACCCATTGTGCCGAACAATGCGACGAGCAGCTCCTCGGATACCGAGCTATCGAGATTTCCCACATACAACGTTTTCGGCTGTGACTCGTCCATGGCTCGTCGTCGATGGCTGCTCCGATCAGGTGTGAATGCGGATCGATATGCGCGATAAGGCTGTATATATTCGAACACTCTCTTCTCTATGCGATGATGCGCATCAAATCAATTACAAAAATCGATATCAAAAATAATTTACTTGATTCAGAAGATCCCTATCTACGCTCGTTTCTAATGGTGTGCTGTGTATATATAAAAATCCAATGCTCACACACACTTTATATATATTCTATATATGGGAGGAAGGGAGGAGGCTGCTAAAGGACTACGAAAACTTTACTACAATTCTGAATACTTCGATTACTACGATTCTGACCCGTTTTCGCCCGATTGGCTTCGTTTGTTGTTGGTTTTGTGGTATATAATTATATATCGTATCTAGAGATTTATGATAATAGTAGATCTTTATGATTTAACGCTGAGGTTCGTCGTTTATTGCTTTTCTTTTCTTTACTTTTCCCCTAAATCTTGTGGCCTAATTTGCAAAAATTTTGTTAAACTTCTATATTGTTGGTTTTGTTGTATATATGTATAAATATATCTGTCCTAACTATTCGCTAATGGAGTGTTTTGGAATATACAATTTTGTTGTTGTTATATCTTCTCTCTTTTGCTCTTCTTCTCTTTCGAAGGGAGGGAGAGGATGTGGATTTTGTGTCGTTAACTTTTAACTTGAATTCTCTATCTTGTCTCAATCTATAGGATTGGCATTATAAATTGTTGTTCTTGCTGCTGCTGCTGTTTTCCCTTCAATATACACGAATTGTATAAATGTATATGGAATACTATTTACGTTAATGTAGAAGAGTTCGGGATTTTGGATTCGGGATCGGATCAAGGGGTTCTGGTACAAAAATTAGTTTGCTATGAAAGTTCTCGCAGGTTAAGAGTGTTTCTGTTGGGTTTCGAAGCTGAACACTGGAATCGCTGCTGCAAAGAAGAAAACATAGAGGGAAGAGAAGAAAGTACATAGTTGTCGGTTAGTTATAGTAGTAGTTATAGTTATAGTTTATATAGGACAAGGTCTACAGTTCGGTGGTCACATAGTAGCACATGATCGGCAAATGTTACATTTGGAATTAGGTAGGCAAATGATATGGATAAGTGGTCGCCCGCTCGCTCCGTCTGTCTGTCTGTCTATCGGTCTTCTCTGTCTCTCTGTAGGGAACAAAGAGCCGACTAGGCGGCAAAGCAGTGCAGGGCACGCACACACGTGCGCACCCTCTCTCGTACTCAGGCACACACACACGCACAGAAAGAACTAAAGAGAGAGAGGGACTGCCCAAGATCCGTTTCCTCGCCAATTTAACAAAGCAAATGTCATTAAATTGCAGTCCACGCAAAACAATTTATTTTATATTTAATACAAAAACTAAAACTACACCATATCGTGAGCGGTATCGGGAACTACTCTTTTTCCGGGAGCAAACGCAATGTAGAACACTGGCGCACACGCACACAGAGACACGAAAGACGGCGAAAGACAAAATGAAAATCAACTAGAGGAGAGGATGAATGACCGTCGATAACAAAATACATAATGGAAAACATGGAGAAAGAGGTGGGAAATTTGCGAAACCGAAACCGGCCAGGGCAGCGACGGCAGTTCGGCAGCAGCGCCGAAATAGATTTCGGGCTTCATTTCGGTCGAATCAAGTCGAATTCGAAATAAAATTTAAATTTGCATGGCACTAAACTTGATTTTGATGTGATTTCTTTAGGCGGCGCTAGAAAATGTCAGTCAAAGTCACAGAGCCTTGAAGGGAGCGACGGCGGGCGGGGGGCGTTGGTTTTTGTTGCTCATTTTTATTCGCTTATTTTCCTCGTTTCGTCGTTTTTCGCACACACCACACACACAAAAAGGCGTCTTGCGCTGGTCTTTTTGTTTGCCTTTTGCTCACATGAGTTGCCACTTTTCTTCTTTTTTTCGGTTTTGGTTATTGAACATTTAAACTAATACCAATACCAATGCAGCTCGAATATGGGGATTTTTCTTTGCTTTTTCTGCTTGCCGCTTCCATCTATACTTATGTGTGTATGCACACACACGCGCACACATGCAATGTACATATCTTGTTCAATTCCGTGCTGCCATCTTTTTATGCTAGCGTTCCCGTTCCCCGCCCCTTCGACGATGCCGAAAGCTAGGATTAACATTAACACAACTACCACCACCACCACCGCCGTCCTGTCCTACCCATTGTTCGACGCTGCCTAGAATTTGGGATTCGTTTTCAAAATCCGCACTCTCTCATATTTTTTATATGCTCTCAGTGACGTGGCTGCGGTTGTAAATTTACCGCATTTTACTAGCTCTCCGCTATTTAAACACACAACACACACCAGACAATATTAACCGCTACCGGTTTTTATTAATTTTTCACAACTTTCGCTATGTTAAACTGATTAAATTGTACGATAAACGCGTCGCTAAAATTTTACCTTCGTCGTCTAAAATGCGAACCTAATTAATGAGCACTTTGTGTGTGAGAGAGAGTGCTGCCAACTCGTTGCACACGAAAAACGCAATGGCGGCAAGGTCATAAACTGATTAAAAACTATCACAAATCTGCACTCCTTTGTTGACTAGCCACAGATTAAAATAAAGCTCGATTTATCAGAAGTTTTTCTATTGAAATCAAGTAGGTTTAAACACATTTAAGTCGGTTTATAAATAAATCATAAAAAGTGGCAACTCTGTTTGCACCGATAAACGTTTTCTCTCTCTAACACACGCGCTGGCAGGCAGATGCAGCAGCACAAAAGGGAAGCGCAAAAGTACAACACTACCAAAAGGGAAAGGCAGAAAAATGGTGATTAATATTCTCCTAAACAATAAACAGTTAATTGTTTTAGACAATGAAATCAACTATAATGATATATGCACGAAAATCGAAGAGTCCACGGTGAGTGTGCATACCTAAATTGTGAAATTCACGTGCACAAGTAATTGCAATAAACATAATCTATTTCACAGCACTTGCAACGCGACGATTACTATCTCGTGAGCAATGGCAAACGTTTGACTGGCGACTCGACGACTCAACATGAGAGCATCCACTGCATCCTCCGCCAGGTGGGCGGCAAGGGTGGCTTCGGCTCCATGCTGCGTGCGATTGGAGCACAGATTGAAAAAACCACAAACCGCGAGGCATGTCGCGATCTGAGTGGACGTCGTCTGCGCGACATCAACGAGGAGAAGCGCGTCCGGGCCTGGCTGGGCAAGCAGGCGGAGCGTGAGCGCGAGCGGGAGGAGCGAAAGAAGCGCAAGATTGAGAAACTTCTGGCCGTGCCCAAGCACGACTTCAAAGACGAAAAGTACGAGGAGGCCAGGGCCAATCTGACGGATAAGGTGAGCGACGCCTTCGAGGAGGGTCTCAAGCAGGCCGAGGAAGTCAAAGAAAAGCAGGCAGCAGCCACGGAACTGCCCTCCGTCAGTGGTGTGAAGAGAAAAGCTCCAGTCGACGACAAGACCAAGGCCAAAAAGAATAAAAAGGGAGCACTCTGGATTGGTGATGATATCTCGGGCACCGACTCGGATGACAGCGAAGAGGAGCAGTCAGAGACAAATAAGAAAAAAGCGATTAAAAGTTGAAAGATTTAAGTTTAATATTAAGCACTAAGAGGAATAAGAGCATAAATAAAAAGATGATTAAAGGACAAAAGACAAAACATCACTGCGACACAAATTGCGAGGAGACCCAGGCGAGACCCCATTTCAGGTTCGTAAGCATGAACTTTAAGGCCTTCGTCCACTGTTCCTCCGAGTTGAACTGTATCCTGTAAGCAAACGAAAGAGGAGTCAGTGTGTCAAAGGATATGGACTTTTTCCCTGCACTTACTTTATTGAGTAGGAATTCCCCGTCGATGGGTCAATGATTTTGCCCTTTTCCATTTTGTAGGGCAGCAAAAACTCGGTGTCGCGTTTCTCCACCTCCTTCTGGAACTGGGTAAGGCAGTCAAGGAAGGCCACCATGGCCGCATCGAATTTGGTGTCCCAAAAGAACTTGAATCCCCCGCTGCCGTATAGCGGCAGTTCGCGATTCTCGCCCAGCACCTCCACATACGAGTGATTGCCGAATGGCACCACACGATACCGCTCAAAGGTCAGGCCAATCTTGCGGGCCAGAGCGGAGAGCAGCAGCACTGTCTGCCCCCAGGCGGCATTTATCTCCGACCAGTCGACGGAGACGGAGGGCAGGCGACCCAGGCGGAAGTTATTGATGGTGCCAAAGTGTCCCGCGTGCCAGATGTGGAAGGTGATGTTGAAGATGTTTGTGTCGCGCAGCTTGTCCAGCTGCTGCTTCGAGTAGCTGATCTGGCTCTCCAGGCTCCGTTTGTCGTCCTCGGTGAGCATCAGCTCACGCCTGTGTTTGGTGTACTCGCGCCAGTAGCTCTCCTCCTGGTCGTGCAGCTTCTCCTTCTCCAATTCCTCTTGCGCTATGGCAGCGTTCAGTGATTGTTCCTCCTCCTTGAGCTTGCCCAGCTCCGATAGCAGCTGCTGTTCACTCTTCTTCAGTTCGTCCAGCTCCTTGTCGAGGGCATCAACATTGGGCGCCTGCCGCTGCTGCTCCAGCTCATCCAGATACGTTTTGTACACATCCCACTCGTCCTCGGCAATGCGCAGCTCCCGATCCATAATCTCCAGCATGGAATCCGCACACTCCTCGCACAGGGGATGGTCAATCTCCGAGTTGGAGGACAAGCAGTCGAATAGCTCTGCCTTCAAATTGAAGGCAGCACTCATCTTCTTGTTGTCACGGCCATCCGAGACGAGCATGAAGCCAGTTCCATTGATGGAGTCCGTCAGCCTGTACGGCGGCACAAAGTGGTCAAAGCTGCTGGCGTCCTGTGTGTCCAGGGTGTTGCCATTGTCCCTGTAGATTGGCACTGGAAAGGGAAAACATGATTACAAAGCTTTCTGCTAATGTTGTATACCTTCTCCTACACGACAGTTCAGCCATGGCATGGACGCTAATCTTCTCCAGCTGCTCGTCCAGCACTATGGGCTGAAGACAGCGCTGGCAGGCAAAGGACACGGCCTGTTTCTCCGCCTCGCTCATGGTCGCGGATATTTAAATTCCCCTCCTGCAATTTTCTGCATATAATAAATGTATTATTTGGATGTGAAAAAGACAAATAATTAATCAGCTGTTTGCAGCTGCTGCCAGGGTTGCCATCCCATCTGTCTGCAACAGCGCAAAATTAAGGCGCAGTTCCCGGGACAACAAAACGATAAAATCAAATCAATTGACGGGTTCAGCAAAATAAGAATTAAAACCAGTTTTAAAGAAAAACATTGACCAAAAGCGAGCTCTACAACAGAGACGAGACTGACTCCCCCCCTGGCACACTCACGCACACAGAAGGCAGCCTTGACCACCATTGTGGTTTTTTTGTATGTGATAAGAGCAGAGCGCGGAGAGGCATTCAATTCCGTTTGTTTAGGTGAGAAAAAAGCACATGAGACGCAGTTGGTGCGCCTCTTTAGCTGTGGAAAAGTTTCATTTCATTTCGCCCACAACAGCCCCACGGAACGGTACGGAAGACCCACACACGGACCCCAACATACAACTTGATTGGCAAATTCATTATTTCATTATATTCTCGTTATCCCCCCACCGCGGTATGGTATTGTTTCTGACTTAGGTCTGGATTGAATGCGCATGTTTTGTAACTATTAATAGGCCATTGTTGGATTTAAGGGCACGCCACTCACCCAATTCGTGCTCCAAAAAAGATTAAACCTCCAAAACAGACGCGCGCGCTCAACAACGTGCCATTTTCTATCTAAGAATACGTAATCATCAGTTCGGTGGCCGGGTGGCTGTGTCGCCATAAGAACTAAAGAGCTACAACTACTAAAAGTACAACAACAACTACAACTAAAATGGTTTCCTACTTTGTACCTCGCGGTCGTGTACTGCTAAAGGCCGGCAACCTAAGAACGGTGGTCCAGCCACAGCAGCCACAGCAACTACAACTACAAGCCGCGAAGCCTACGCAGCAACAAAATGGAAGCTGGCCAGTGGTGCGGCATTTCCGGCACTTCTCCTCGAATTCCTCATCTGGGAATGCACCGCTAAATCGCCTCAAGGCGCAGTCGCAGCCCCAGCCAGAGCCGCACAGACAGCAGCTTAACTCAAAACAGAACCTCGCCCAGGTGCGTCGCAATGTGCTCTCCCGCTGGACCGGCTTCCTACTGCGCTGGGCCCCCATGGGCATATGCGTGTTCGGGGCCATCGAATGGCAGCTACATAAGAAGCGCTGCGAACGTGACGGCACGCCACGCACCGCCTCGGAGTTCCAGTCTCGCGTCTACTGCTCGCTTCCGCTGCGGATCATCAGTCGCTGCTGGGGCTGGCTGGCCGCCTGCTACATGCCCACGACACTGCGGCCCTACGTCTACGGCTGGTACTCGAATGCATTTAATGTGAATCTGAGCGAGGCTCAGTATCCGGAATACGAACACTACAACAGCCTAGCGGAGTTCTTCACGCGTCCTCTGAAGGAGGGCGCACGCACCATCGATGCCCATGCACCGCTCGTATCGCCTGCCGATGGCAAAGTTCTGCACTTTGGCAGCGCCTCTGACTCGCTCATCGAGCAGGTGAAGGGCGTGAATTACAGCATCGAGGACTTCCTGGGGCCACTGCAGACGCTGGAGGAGGCCAAGTCGGGTGTCAGCTACGCGCAGGCCCTGAAGCGGCAGCGCGATGGCACCACCGAGCTATATCAGTGCGTTATCTACCTGGCTCCCGGAGATTATCATCGCTTTCACTCACCCACCGCCTGGCAGCCGACGGTGCGCCGTCATTTCTCCGGCGAACTGCTCTCGGTGAGCCCTAAGGTGGCCGGCTGGCTGCCGGGTCTGTTCTGCCTGAACGAGCGCGTCCTCTATATGGGACAGTGGAAGCACGGCTTCTTCAGCTACACTGCGGTGGGCGCCACCAATGTGGGCTCCGTGGAGATCTACATGGATGCTGAGCTCAAAACCAATCGCTGGACGGGTCTCAATGTGGGTAAGCATCCTCCGAGCACCTACGAGTACGACGAAGTGGCCCTGGACGCACAGCAAAAGCCAAAGGAGCTGGGCAAGGGCGATCTGGTCGGGCAGTTCAACATGGGCAGCACCATTGTCCTTCTCTTCGAGGCGCCAAAGAACTTCAAGTTTGACATTGTTGCCGGACAGAAGATCCGTGTGGGAGAGTCCCTGGGGCACATTGTGGAGCGTAAATGATGAATGTCCATGTCCATGACCATCCCCCGGAAAGAAGCCTATTGTGATGCCAATCCAAGAATCAGTTCAAAGCAAACTCTGGCAAGTCTCCGGCAAGTTGATAGATTGAAATGAAATCCAATCTAATTATCACATTTTGTATTACTGGAGCTGTTCCCTAACGTATTTTTTGTGAACATCCTGCTATGCTATGCCATGCTATGCTATGTGTGTGTGTATGTGTGTATTGTTGCCATTTCTATAGTCCTAAGGAAATATTTTATATGTCTTTATATAATAAATGTCGAAATATCGTTGAATACAATAAAAATGTGTCTGGTTTCAACCCGTAAGGCACGCGCCGACAACTGGTAGTAGTGCAAAACATATAATTGTTGAGGTGGGAGCTTCTGGTTTGGTTCGTTATCTTTTTTACTTTATAACAGCAAACGATTAAAACTTTCTCAGTCGTTGAACCCAAAACTAAAGAACTCGGTGGCCGTCTGGGGGTATGCTTATCGGTATATGGCAAGCCGATCTTTAATTATTTCCCGGATGTTCTACTACTACGAACATAATCTGTAATTACCCTATCTCCACGAACCTGAACTTTCTTCCCACAAATACGACTGCCGCACCGCACAGCAGCAGATGGAAAAAGGGAATTGATATGAACTAGCAGGCAGACATACATATGTAGATGCGCCACAATATGGTATGTTCTGTTATTAAATTGAATCCGGGATCGCCTTTTCATCTAATTGAATCAATTCAACCAGCCGATTCCCAGCCAAAGTGCTTGTTTGTTCGTTGAACTTATCACACGATGACAATTTGATTGTGCCCGAGAGCCTTGACACACACACACACACGCCGACCACGTAGTTAGCGAGTGATGGCATCCCGACCTGGCAACAGTTTGGGATCGGGAATGAAATAATTGCGTCAGAATCACTTTCAATTAAAAAAAATTATATTTTCAAATTTTAGTGCCAAAAGCAGTTTATGACTGTGTCTAACACTGTCTCACACAATCGATTGCAACCCTGTGTCGAACAGCTGATTGCCGGCTTTGAATATGTTTTGATTGATTCGTTACGTAATAATTGTTGTTTTTTGTCGAGTGGAATAGCTCGAAATGCTGCTGAGACATTTCCTGGTGGCTCTAAGAGCCTCAAAGACCGCGTTCTCCCTTCAATCTCCCATAAATCTTCCTGCAAACTGCACCCTGTTCGCACCCCAGCGATTTTATAGCAACGTGCCGGAAATTGGAATTGTGGACTACGATGTGGTGAAAAATCTTGCTCCACAGAAACTGCTCATAGATGTCAGGGAACCTGACGAGCTTACGAAGACTGGCCAAATCCCTTCCAGCATCAACATACCCTTAGGCATAGTCAGCCAGGAGCTATCCACCAGCGCTGAACTCTTCAAATCAAAATATGGCCGAGAAAAGCCACAAGCCAGCACAGAGATTATATTCCACTGCATGATTGGCAAGCGGAGCCTGAAGGCTGCCGAAGCAGCCGCCGCCCTGGGCTTCAAGAATCTGAAAAACTACGAGGGCTCCTGGACAGACTGGGCCAAGCGCGAAGGATTGCCCAAGTAGAGAAAAAGAATAACAAATGCAATAAAATTTCAATTTAATTAAAACGTTTTTTTTATTGAACTACATAATATCATATTGTAACGATTTTTCGTTTTACATTGAGATCTTTGTAAATTAATGGAACTTTATATTATATTTGAGTTTAGTCGACCTCCTCGACTGTGGGTCCCTTGTAGCCACCGTTGGCGAAGCCACCGGCTTGCTGGCCACAGTTGGGAGCCTGCGGACCACCACCATCTCCGGCGCCCTGCTGCTGGTGCATCTTCGTCATGATGGGGCTGCAGAACTGCGTGAGCTCCTTCAGTTTGTACTCGTACTCCTCCTTGTCGGCGGTGGTGTTGCCGTCGAGCCACTTGATGGTCTCGCTGCACTTCTCGAGGACACTGCTCTTGTCCGACTGGCTGATCCTGTCGCCCCCATTGTCGGCGGCTTCCTTCACGCCGAACACGTAGCTCTCCAGCTGGTTGCGGGCTGCAATCCTCTGGCGGTGCTTCTCGTCCTCCTCGGCATACTGCTCGGCCTCGCTGAGCATGCGATCGATGTCGGCCTGCGAGAGGCGACCCTTGTCATTCTTGATGGTGATGTTCTTCGCATTGCCAGAGCCCATTTCCTTGGCCGTAACGTTGAGAATGCCGTTGGCGTCCAGGTCGAAGGTGACATCAATCTTGGGCACGCCGCGGGGTGCCGGCGGGATGCCCGTGAGGTTGAAGGTTCCCAGCACATTGTTGTCCTTCGTCATGGCGCGCTCGCCCTCAAACACCTGCACAGTCACGGCGGGCTGGTTGTCCGCGTAGGTGGTGAATGTCTTTGACTGCTTGCACGGGATGCGGCTGTTGCGCTCGATCAGCTTGGTCATCACTCCGCCAGCGGTCTCAATGCCGAGCGAGAGCGGCGACACGTCCACGAGCAGCACGTCCTTGATCTGGCTGCTCTGGTCGCCCGACAGAATGGCCGCCTGAATGGCGGCGCCGTAGGCCACAGCCTCGTCTGGGTTGATGGACAGGTTAAGGCTCTTGCCATTGAAGAAGCTCTGCAGAAGACTCTGCACCTTGGGAATGCGTGTTGAGCCGCCCACCAGGACGATGTCGTCAATCTTGCCCTTGTCCATCTTGGCGTCGTTCAGGGCCTTCTCCACTGGCTGCAGGGTGTTGCGGAAGAGATCCCCGCACAGCTCCTCGAAGCGGGCACGACTGACCTTTGTGTAGAAGTCGTGTCCCTCGAACAGGGCATCCACCTCGATGGATGCCTCTGTGCTGGAAGAAAGAGTTCGCTTGGCCCGCTCGGCTGCGGTGCGCAGACGGCGCAGGGCACGTGGATTGGAGCGCAGATCCTTCTTGAACTTGCGCTTGAACTCCTCCGCCAGGTGGTTCACCAGTCTGTTGTCAAAGTCCTCGCCACCCAAGTGGGTGTCTCCGGCAGTGGCGCGCACCTCGAACAGCGATCCCTCGTCGATGGTCAGAATAGAGACATCGAAGGTGCCGCCACCCAGATCGAAGATCAGCACATTGCGCTCTCCCTTGAGATTCTTGTCCAGGCCATAGGCCAGAGCAGCCGCCGTTGGCTCGTTGATGATGCGCAGCACGTTGAGGCCGGCAATGGCTCCAGCATCTTTAGTGGCCTGGCGCTGGGAGTCGTTGAAGTACGCTGGCACTGTGATGACTGCGTCGCGCACTGAGGTGCCGAGGTACGCCTCGGCAGTCTCCTTCATCTTGGTGAGGACCATCGAGCTGATCTCCTCTGGGGCAAAGAGCTTCTCCTCGCCCTTGAACTCGACGCTCATCTTCGGCTTGCCGCAGTCGCTGACCACCTTGAAGGGCCAGTGCTTCATGTCCTCCTGGATCTTCGAGTCGTCGAACTTGCGCCCAATCAGACGCTTGGCGTCGAACACACTGTTCTTCGGATTCATCGCCACCTGGTTCTTGGCGGCGTCTCCGATGAGCCGCTCTGAATCTGTGAATGCCACATAGCTGGGCGTCGTGCGGTTGCCCTGGTCGTTGGCGATGATCTCCACCTTTCCGTGCTGGAAGACACCGACGCAGGAGTACGTGGTGCCCAAGTCAATGCCAATGGCCGGCATCTTGTGTGTGTTTGTGTGACTTCTTCTGTATTTCTTCAGCAAACAATTGGTTGATGTGGCTTTCGCTCTCTCGTTTGTGAGTGTTTTCTTGCTGAACTTTACTTTTGTATTTCAATACTTTTACTTAATTTCTTGTATAACTTTTACTTGATTGTGTTGAGTTATTGGTTTTAACTGTCACTTTTGGTTGCTTTGTGTTGTGCTTTCCGTTGCTTGAATTGAAATGTGAAGGGGTAGCAAACTGCACCGCTATTTATACTCCTGGCCAGTCTGCGTTGCCCGTTGCCAGAAGAGTGTAGAAGCTTCACGATGCTTCTCGACGTTTCGCGAGAGAGCGAGTGAGATGAACGTAGTGTCGAAAAGGGAAAGATTGTGTAAAGGGAAAAGCGCTTGCGATGCTTCTCGAGAGTGCGACAGAGATAACAAGAGTGTGTTTCAGGGGAAATGTGGTGAATCGTGGTGAGTGTGTGGAAAATTCAAGAATAATTAAGGGGAACGAACCGATGCATTGACGTAGGTCAGCGAGGCGCTGGGAGGTGGCCTCCCATCATTAAATCAGAGCGCGGAATATTTTTAAATTGTTTTCCGTCTATTAATAGATTCTATCAACAATATTCGCTCACATTATAAAATTGTTCATTCAGCTTATTAACGTCTAAAACTTAGACTCTAAAAAATATGTATTGTTTACAACGGTTTGGCATGGAGCTGCCAAATTTTGGCTCCTGTCCAAAGAGATCGAACTCTAGAACAAAGTTAATTGTTATTTTTTTTTTCATATTACATTATACATTATCTGAACGTATAAATTATCCAATAACACATTTTCGGTTGTATGAAAACTGATCAAGTTGTCCTGGGCCGAAGGACTGTCGGGACCCAACATTTTTGTCAGCTCCATGCCAAACCGTTGTAAACAATACATATTATTTAGACGTTAATAAGCTGAATGAACAATTTTAGAATGTGAGCAAATATTGATTATAGAATATATAAACATCGTTCCCCTTAATTATTCTTGAATTTTCCGATTCACCACATTTCCCCTGCTACACATTCTTGTTATCTCTGTCGCACTCTCGAGATCCATCGCAAACGCTTTTCCCTCTATATAATCTTTCCCTTTTCAAAACTACGTTCATCTCTCTCGCTCCCTCGCGAAACGTCGAGAAGCAATCGTGAAGCTTCTACACTCTTCTGGCAACGGGCAACGCAGACTGGCCAGGAGTATAAATAGCGGTGCAGTTTGCTACCCCTGCACATTTCAATTCAAGCAACGGAAAGCACAACACAAAGCAACCAAAAGTGACAGTTAAAACCAATAACTCAACACAAGCAAGTAAAAGTGAAACAAGAAATTAAGTAAAAGTATTGAAATACAAAAGTAAAGTTCAGCAAGAAAACACTCACAAACGAGAGAGCGAAAGCCACATCAACCAATTGTTTGCTGAAGAAATACAGAAGAAGTCACACAAACACACACAAGATGCCGGCCATTGGCATTGACTTGGGCACCACGTACTCCTGCGTCGGTGTCTTCCAGCACGGAAAGGTGGAGATCATCGCCAACGACCAGGGCAACCGCACAACGCCCAGCTATGTGGCATTCACAGATTCAGAGCGGCTCATCGGAGACGCCGCCAAGAACCAGGTGGCGATGAATCCGAAGAACAGTGTGTTCGACGCCAAGCGTCTGATTGGGCGCAAGTTCGACGACTCGAAGATCCAGGAGGACATGAAGCACTGGCCCTTCAAGGTGGTCAGCGACTGCGGCAAGCCGAAGATGAGCGTCGAGTTCAAGGGCGAGGAGAAGCTCTTTGCCCCAGAGGAGATCAGCTCGATGGTCCTCACCAAGATGAAGGAGACTGCCGAGGCGTACCTCGGCACCTCAGTGCGCGACGCAGTCATCACAGTGCCAGCGTACTTCAACGACTCCCAGCGCCAGGCCACTAAAGATGCTGGAGCCATTGCCGGCCTCAACGTGCTGCGCATCATCAACGAGCCAACGGCGGCTGCTCTGGCCTATGGCCTGGACAAGAATCTCAAGGGAGAGCGCAATGTGCTGATCTTCGATCTGGGTGGCGGCACCTTCGATGTCTCTATTCTGACCATCGACGAGGGATCGCTGTTCGAGGTGCGCGCCACTGCCGGAGACACCCACTTGGGTGGCGAGGACTTTGACAACAGACTGGTGAACCACCTGGCGGAGGAGTTCAAGCGCAAGTTCAAGAAGGATCTGCGCTCCAATCCACGTGCCCTGCGCCGTCTGCGCACCGCAGCCGAGCGGGCCAAGCGAACTCTTTCTTCCAGCACAGAGGCATCCATCGAAGTGGATGCCCTGTTCGAGGGACACGACTTCTACACAAAGATCAGTCGTGCCCGCTTCGAAGAGCTGTGCGGGGATCTCTTCCGCAACACCCTGCAGCCAGTGGAGAAGGCCCTGAACGACGCCAAGATGGACAAGGGCAAGATTGACGACATCGTCCTGGTGGGCGGCTCAACACGCATTCCCAAGGTGCAGAGTCTTCTGCAGAGCTTCTTCAATGGTAAGAGCCTAAACCTGTCCATCAACCCAGACGAGGCTGTGGCCTACGGCGCCGCCATTCAGGCGGCCATTCTGTCGGGCGACCAGAGCAGCCAGATCAAGGACGTGCTGCTCGTGGACGTGTCGCCGCTCTCGCTCGGCATTGAGACCGCTGGCGGAGTGATGACCAAGCTGATCGAGCGCAACAGCCGCATCCCGTGCAAGCAGTCAAAGACATTCACCACCTACGCGGACAACCAGCCCGCCGTGACTGTGCAGGTGTTTGAGGGCGAGCGCGCCATGACGAAGGACAACAATGTGCTGGGAACCTTCAACCTCACGGGCATCCCGCCGGCACCCCGCGGCGTGCCCAAGATTGATGTCACCTTCGACCTGGACGCCAACGGCATTCTCAACGTTACGGCCAAGGAAATGGGCTCTGGCAATGCGAAGAACATCACCATCAAGAATGACAAGGGTCGCCTCTCGCAGGCCGACATCGATCGCATGCTCAGCGAGGCCGAGCAGTATGCCGAGGAGGACGAGAAGCACCGCCAGAGGATTGCAGCCCGCAACCAGCTGGAGAGCTACGTGTTCGGCGTGAAGGAAGCCGCCGACAATGGGGGCGACAGGATCAGCCAGTCGGACAAGAGCAGTGTCCTCGAGAAGTGCAGCGAGACCATCAAGTGGCTCGACGGCAACACCACCGCCGACAAGGAGGAGTACGAGTACAAACTGAAGGAGCTCACGCAGTTCTGCAGCCCCATCATGACGAAGATGCACCAGCAGCAGGGCGCCGGAGAAGGTGGTGGTCCGCAGGCTCCCAACTGTGGCCAGCAAGCTGGAGGCTTCGCCAAGGGTGGCTACAAGGGACCCACAGTCGAGGAAGTCGACTAAATCTAGTCATAATCCGCAGATATAATGTAGCATTAGTTATATGTCAGCCAAATATTAATTTAAATTATTTAAGTTAAAAATTATTGAATTGAATTCAATAAATAGTTGATTTATTCCTTATTGAAACGGAGGTTTGCTGTTACTTTACAAAATATTACAATAAAATATTGACAAAGAATGATCTGCAGAGCTCCAGCCACGGGTTGAGGCCAAGTCACATTCACATTAACAGGTCACAGCTTTCATATCTCATTTTTTAGTCTTAATTTCTCAGTTAAATAGTGAATAAATATACTTGTTGAATTCAAAGGCGATCCGCTGTGTTGCTATTGTAGGCGAAATCGATAGTATCGATGGGGACAGAACTCGTATTATTTGAATTAAAATCAGAAAAAATATCGCTTAGGACATCCTGAAGGAAGTTCAGGACAGGACCAAAAAAAATCAGAGATATATAGGAGTTAAGTGACTCAAGTTCGTTCTTTCATCGATATATTTACGGTATAATTTGACGATGAGAAGGTATATTTCGGTATATTTCTGAGGTTCATGTGGGTATATTTTAACGATAGGCCCACGGTCACACTGCAGCATTTGTTGAGAAAAAATAAATAAATTTCGCGCGATTTTTTTTTCGTGGTTTTAATATTGGCCAATTGCTAAAATGGCCGACGAGGACGACGAAGTCACACACAGAGTGGCGGCGCCGCCGGTGCGTAAGCCAGATGACGAGACTGCGTTTCTGGAGTCAATTGAGATGGAAAACTTCAAGTCCTACCGCGGCCACATTCTTGTGGGCCCTTTTAAGCAGTTTAACGCTGTTATTGGCCCCAATGGCTCCGGAAAGTCCAACTTCATGGACGCCATCAGTTTTGTGATGGGTGAGAAGACCTCTAGCCTTCGCGTGAAGCGCCTGAACGATCTGATACACGGCTCCTCCATTGGCAAGCCAGTGGCACGCAGCTGCTATGTGACGGCAAAGTTTATATTGAACGAGGAGAAGCATATGGACTTTCAGCGCGCTGTGATCAGTGGCTCCTCCGAATACCGCATCAATGGAGAGGTAAGGGAAAGCAATCCCCGCCAGCATTTATCCGTATGGCTAATGTCTAATCTTATTGCAATTTCAGAGCGTTTCGAGTAGCACATACCTCAACAAGCTGGAAAAGATTGGTATTAATGTGAAGGCAAAGAACTTTCTGGTCTTCCAGGGAGCTGTCGAGAATATTGCCATGAAGACACCAAAAGAGCGCACAGCATTGTTTGAGGAAATCAGCGGGTAAGTGCCCTTTCTCGGATCTGTAATGTTGCTACTTTTATTGCTTTTCTTTTGCTAGCTCTGGCCTGCTCAAGGATGACTACAATCGCTTGAAGCAGGAAATGATTGTGGCCGAGGAGGAGACACAGTTTACCTACCAAAAGAAGAAGGGCATAGCAGCCGAGCGTAAAGAGGCCAAACACGAGAAAATGGAAGCCGAGCGCTATACACGTCTACAGAATGAATATGTACGCATCCATTGGCCATAATCAAACGTCTCCTCTAAGATGAATCTTGAATCTTTCAGAACGACAAACAGGTGGAGTACCAACTGTTTCGCCTATTCCACGTGGAGAAGGATATCCAAAAGTATATAGCCGACATGGAGGTGAAGCAGCTGGAGGTAAAGGCTGTCGAGCAGCGTAAGGAAGCCGCCGACGAAGTGCTGCGCGAGAAGAAGAAGGACGCTGGCAAGATAACACGCGATTTGGCGAAAATTGATCAAGAGATTCGTGAATTCGAAACGCAAATGAACAAACGGCGGCCGCTGTACATCAAGGCCAAGGAGAAGGTCTCCCATTGCAAGAAGAAGCTGATTTCATTGCAAAAGACCCTGGAGACGGCTCGCGAGGCGGACAACGCCCATCAGCAGGACATCCGAAAGCTGGAGAAGCAGTTGGCCGATATCGAGGAGCTGAAGAAGCGCTTCGAGGACGAGATCGAGAACGAGTCGCAGCGGCGTGGCAAGAGTGTGAACATGGAGGAGGGTCTCGTACAGGAGTACGACCGGCTGAAGCAGGAGGCCGAGGCCACGGCCACACAGTATCGCTCAGAGCTGGATTCGGTTAACCGTGAGCAGAAGTCTGAGCAAGACACTCTCGATGGCGAAACTAACCGCAGAGCCTCCGTCGAGGAGTCGTTCAAGAAGCTGACATTACAGCGCGAAGAGGCCGTCAAGCGACGCGACAAGCTCATGGATCACATCAAATCCTCGCAGGCAGCGCTAGAAGAACAGAATCGCATCAAGGATGAGCTGCGCCGAGACGTTGGCAGCTCCAAGGAGAAGATTGCCGAAAAGCAACGAGAGCTGGAGAATGTGCGGGAACAATTGGGCGACGCCAAGGGCGACAAGCACGAGGATGCGCGCCGCAAGAAGAAACAGGAGGTCGTGGAGCTGTTCAAGAAGCAGGTGCCGGGTGTCTATGATCGCATGATCAACATGTGTCAGCCCACACACAAACGCTACAATGTGGCCGTCACCAAAGTCCTGGGCAAGTTCATGGAAGCCATCATTGTGGACTCGGAGAAGACGGCGCGCCATTGCATTCAGGTTTGCTTGCATTGAAACTCCCTATACATTGAAATCCTTTGAATTGCCTTTGCAGATATTGAAAGAACAAATGCTGGAGGTTGAGACCTTCCTGCCGCTTGATTACCTACAAGTGAAGCCCCTGAAGGAGCGCCTGCGCAACATCAGCGAGCCGCGCAACGTACGGCTGGTCTTCGATGTGCTGAAGTTCGAGCCCCAGGAGATCGAGCGCGCAGTGCTGTTTGCCACCGGCAATGCGTTGGTCTGCGAGACGCCCGAGGATGCCATGAAGGTGGCCTACGAGATTGATCGATCGCGCTTCGATGCCCTCGCTTTGGATGGAACATTTTATCAAAAGTCTGGACTCATCTCCGGAGGCAGCCACGATTTGGCGCGCAAGGCGAAACGTTGGGATGAGAAGCACATGGCCCAGCTGAAGATGCAGAAAGAGCGACTCAACGAGGAGCTCAAAGAGCTGGTGAAAAAGTCCCGCAAGCAGAGCGAACTGGCGACTGTGGAGTCGCAGATCAAGGGCTTGGAGAACCGCCTCAAGTATAGCATGGTCGATTTGGAGTCATCCAAGAAGTCAATTGGCCAATATGACAATCAACTGGCCCAAGTGCAAAGCCAGCTGGATGATTTTGGTGTAAGTAGATGCACCCCAATTCTCCTCTGCTTGAATTGCTCTAAAGTGTCCTCTCTTTTATAGCCAAAAATCAGTGAAATCGAACGTCGCATGCAGAACCGCGAGGAGCACATCCAGGAAATCAAGGAGAACATGAACAATGTGGAGGACAAAGTATTTGCCGCCTTCTGTCGCCGCTTGGGAGTGAAGAATATTCGCCAGTATGAGGAGCGCGAGCTGGTCATGCAGCAGGAAAGGGCACGAAAACGAGCAGAATTCGAGCAGCAGGTCGATGCGATTAACTCTCAGCTGGACTTTGAGAAGCAAAAGGACACGCGAAGCATGTATTTCTCAATCACAATCAAGAATTGTCCATTTAATATTTTGGTCCACAGAGAACGTTGAGCGTTGGGAGCGAAGTGTTCAGGATGAGGAGGATGCCTTGGAGGGTCTCAAAACGGCAGAGGCACGCTATCTCAAAGAAATCGATGAGGACAAGGACAAGATGGAAAAATTCAAGCAGGATAAGCAGTCCAAGAAGCAGGCTGTAGACGACATGGAGGAGGACATCTCCAAGGCGCGCCGAGACGTGGCCAATTTGGCCAAAGAAATTCACAATGTTGGCAGCCAAATGTCCTCCGTCGAGTCGAAGATTGAGGCCAAGAAGAACGAACGCCAGAATATACTGCTGCAGGCCAAGGTGAGTGCCAAAATGAAAGAACTTCCATTAATTGGGAAAATTCAATTATATTCCGTATTCCACCGCCATAGACCGATTGTATTGTGGTGCCCTTGTCGCGTGGCTCGCTGGACGATGCAGTGCGTGGTAGCGACGCGGACAACAGCACCATGTCCATGACGATGGATAATCTGTAAGTCGAATTGGTTTTTTCTGGCATTATCAATTCGAACATGAGCATGTCGTTTCAGCATTGAAGTGGACTATCGATCGCTGCCACGCGAGTTTACCAAGCTCAAGGATGATTCCGCCTTCAAGAGGGCCAATGAACAGCTGCAGAAGGATCTGCAGGCTAAGCTGGATGTCCTGGAGCGCATACAGACACCAAATATGAAGGCAATGCAGAAGCTCGATGCCGTCACGGAGAAGGTACAATCGACCAACGAGGAGTTCGAGAATGCACGACGAAAGGCCAAAAAGGCCAAGGCAAACTTTGAAAAGGTGAAAAACGAGCGCTCCTCTCGGTTTGTGCAGTGCTGTCAGCACATCTCCGATGCCATCGATGGCATTTACAAGAAACTGGCACGCAATGAAGCGGCCCAGGCCTACATTGGACCTGATAATCCTGAAGAACCCTATCTGGATGGCATCAATTACAATTGCGTGGCGCCCGGTAAACGTTTCCAGCCGATGAGCAACTTGAGTGGCGGTGAAAAAACCATTGCTGCTTTGGCACTGCTCTTCTCCACCCACAGGTAAGCCGAAAGCCTTAATCGGGATTTATTTGTTCCGTCTTGATATTCGATGAATCGTCTCTTCTTAGCTATCAACCAGCGCCGTTCTTTGTGCTCGACGAGATCGATGCCGCCTTGGACAACACAAATATTGGCAAGGTTGCCTCGTACATCAGGGATCACACCACGAATCTGCAGACTATTGTCATTTCCCTCAAGGAAGAGTTCTATGGCCATGCTGATGCCCTTGTGGGCATTACGCCAGCGGTGAGTACTAAATACTTTCAAGATGTGCTCCTCTTTATGATTTACTATTTTGCTTCCTTTCCAGGAGGGAGACTGTCTTATATCAAATGTCTACATAATGGATTTGACCATCTACGAGGACAATTAGCGAACTTATTTTGGCTACCAATTAACATAAGATACTGATCTATTACTTATAGGTACTACCGGTCGCGAATTTCCAATAATAAAGCCAGTAAAGATTTATTTATATCGCTGCTTTTCAATTCGATATAGGGTCTATAATTTTGAAGAACAGAGCTCTCGTTGATGGATCTTCAACGCTTCTTTATTGGAACAGCATCTATATACATCTAGAAATATCTGGGCCAAGCTAGATTGGATTTACGTTGAAGGCCTAAACGGAACATCATCGGATATCAACTGATTGAGAGCACTACAGAACAACACGATACTGCCTTAAATCATTGTGTCGTAATGATAGCACTATGCTGATGCTTACAAAAATCGACCACTATAGATTAGCTTTATACTTACACTTAAACCAATCAGAAGCATCAGTTTCAGATGTATTTTAAAATAATGTCTGCAACTTTAATAGTTTCCTTTATTGGGGGTCTTGCGCTGTATCAAGGTGGAAGTTTATGGGAACGAAAGATAGATGCAGATGTGTATGGTAGATGCATGGATTGTGTCTGGGGATGCGTCTGTATGTGGTGGATAAAAGTATATGTAAAACAACTGGATTTTTTGCTTTTTTTAGTTTTCTCTTTTTTCTTTTCATTTTCTTCATGTAAAAAACTTTTGTGTATTTCTTCAAGAACAAAAACAAACAATTTGATTATTCTGTTTCGGTGTTTATCAGTAGTTGTAAAATAATCATTGCAAACAGATGAATACAGTATCAGCTAGTGGGTTTGCTCCTGGGTGTGTAGTGTGTGTTTCTGTGGGAAGGCAAGGATTCAGATGGCTATGGTTATGGGGCTACTACAATCGATATAAGGCTACAATACAAGGCTTGGTTGTGTGTCGTGTCTGTGGGATGCTTTCAAATAAAGAGAGTGTCGAATGTTAAACTTTGATCTTAATAGAGAAATGAATGCCTAATTTAAAACTTTATACATACAAACTAAAATATTCATTGCGTTTCATATATACACAGACTTTGTAGACTATCGTTTCAAAATACAAAGATTTGTCTTATTAGCGCTTAAATATTAATTTGTCCTGCTTTTCTTGGGGATTCCGGAGCGTGTTTTTGAGGAGCTACAAAGTGTGATCCAGATGTGATGATGAAGATCCTCCCCCTAATCCTTGTGGCTCGCTCACTGTAGAGGCGGTGTGGTATGGTGTGTGTTCGTAGTTTTTGATACTGTTGCTGTTAGTGACTTGTATTATCTGTTTGTAAAATTATTGTTTTTGTTTCTTTTTTGTGGTTTATAGTTATTCATTGAATTTCAGCTTTTCAATGGGCCTTTATTACTGTAATATAAGAAAATAAATATAGTTGGAGGCTTTAGTAAATCAGTTTCGTGCAATTCCCAACTCCCATTTAAAAATATTCATATATGTATATATAGTTTTCAGTTTCAATAGCGACATCCAGCTAATGAATGAAACGCATATTTCGGTCGATTTGGCGATCTATCAAATGTATGAAATGAATATCTTGATCGATACGGAGGTCTTCGGTGTGGACACTTTGGTCTGAATAAGCTACAGGTGGGTATTATCGGTTATTAGATTAGTTTCAAAAGATAAACAATCAATAACAAAGATAATCAAAGATGGTTTACTTTATCTCCCTATCACGCCTTACCGATGGGGGCTACAATACTTACATTGAAACATATTTAAGGCTATCACAGTGTATCTTATACTCCATTGTAGTTGTTATAGGTATATTTAATATCCTGCGTAACGTATCACGGATACGTGTTGTACTGGTCATATCAGTGGCAGTCCGGTTCCATACTGATAAGCTATCCTCCTGTAAAGCGAAACATGTGACGGTTGATTAATGGGACTATTTATAAGAAATTATTGGATATTGGAACCTTGGAAACCATACGCAAGACGAGAACCCCCCCTACACATAAGACTAACAGAGATTAAAACACATTTCTTGGTTGTTTTTCTTTTTGTTTAATAATTTTTATTTCTCAATCAATACATAAGTAAATCATTTCATGTCTGACCAATTGAAAATGAGCTGAAATTATAGGTAATAATGATGATAATAAGAAAACACACTTGATATTAAACACAAAGTCAAATCTAAGTTCTTAATTTAAGTTTTTTCTTTCATTGTTTTTGCGGATTTTCTATGCATGTCTCATGTTTGCGTTTTTGCTTTTTTTTAATTTGCACACACACACACGTCTTTCGTCGGCGGCACATTCCATGATTTTCTGTTTGTTGTCTTTCAATTTGTATATAGATTTGTTTTTTTTATATATAAGACTAACACTTAAATGTAATTCTTTTTTTTTAACTAAATTTTCTAAGGAGAGAAAAAATATATGTAATATGCAATTTGTTATGGATTTTTCTTCCATTTTTCCCATTTTTTTTTGTATCATTATTATTATTACTTTATTTAAACATTTTTAACAATTATGAGTATTTGCTCAAAAACTTGACTTGAACCGTGTGTTTTTTTTTGTTATAGCATTTAGCACGGTCTTTTTGTTTTGTTTTGTGGTTTATTTTCTTGTTTATTTTTATTAATTTTTGATTTGTTTTATGTAGGTTTTAGCTGTGGATTCTGTGTGCTATGTAAATTGTTGTCGCCACTAAGTTTTGTTCTTTGTTTCGTTTTTTGTTTGGTTTATATAAATGTATAGATCTGTTATATATATATAATGTTTATATCCTTCTATATGTGTGTGTGTGTGTGTGTGTGTGTGTGTGTATATATAGGTGTATTAGTTGTGTGTGTCTGTGTTGTTTTTGTTTTGTTTTAAACGCTTTTTAAATTGCACATTGATATTTTAATATTTTGTAAATATTAAACTTTTACTTCGTTTTTCCGTTTTTTTTTGTTTGCTAATTTATTTGGACTATATATATTCATATATATATTAATATATATATATGCATATATCGGTTTTATGTATGTATAATTATATATATATGCTAATTTGTAACTATAATTAAAATATATTATGTATAAATATTATATTCATGTTAGTTTTTTCGAGTTTTCTTTGGGGCGTTTTCTTGTTTTTGTTTTTATATATTTGGAAATATATTTTCATTATTGCTTCTTGAATATACATATGTGAATCCCGCGTTAAGTAATTATTCTTTGTGTCTCGTGTGTGTTTTATGTTTTATGTTCCGTGTTCCGTGGTTTGTGTGTCGTCTCCTAGTGTTCTCTCTGTGTTCTCTGTGGGCTCTCTTCCTTCGTGTTTGTCTTCGCTCTCTTCTGGTTCATTTTTTAATTAAGTTCACATCATCTGTTGCTGTTAAAGTTGGTTTTTAATTTTGTATTTGTATGGGTTTTTGTATTAGTTTTTAAGTACTAAACTTTTACTTGTTATTGCCGTCAGTTTTGTGTGCCGATTCACTGATTGCTGTCGTTCGAGTGTTTTTTGTTTTGTTTTTTTTCTTTCTTGTAAAAATGCTTCGATATGCCTGGAATTATTGTTGCAATTGCTGCTCCCAATGCACGACACAGCCGCCAATCAATCATACACTTGGTTCTCGCTTTTGCTTTGGCTTTCGCTCCTTTTTTATATCTCGTTCTAGCTTCGGCTCTCTAGGCTCTGTTAGGCACTCGTTCTTTCTTTTCCTCTCGCTCTTGAATCATCTATCGCGGGCCCTTAACTGCTGCTTTGCCTCACTATGCTATTGGCTATTGGCTCTCCATGCCTTACAACTTGCTTTCGATCTCGCTGTTGCCATGGCTCTGGCTTTCTTTTTTTCGCTTGGGCTTCACTTCTTGCTCTTTCTTTTCCTCTCGTTTCGGCAGTCACCCTTTTATTTTGCCATTAAGATCTGGCTAACACTCTCATCTCACTCTGCTCAGTTTTTTGGGCAAAGACGAAATCTGCTCGCGGGTGGTGTTGTATTATCTGCGTGTGTCTGCTTGTGTGTGTTTTGTGTTTGTCTGTCTGTGGCACTTTTAAAGGCTGTGAAGGCGGCCCTGTGCCACCGAGCCCTCGGGCTTGAGAAGGTGCTGCTCCTGCTCTCCTGTGTATTCCACTCAACTCCTTTTGTTTCATTTATGCTATTCTCTTGCTTTCTTTCGTTTCCCTCTCTGTAGCTTTTTTTTTTTGTATTTTTCTTTGGGTTTTTTGAATTTTATTCAATTTTAAAGTACAATTGCACGAGTGTCTGTTGCTGCACTCGTTACTAAGAATATTTTCATCTTTTGTTATGGAAATTAATTTGATTTTTTTTTTTTTTTTTTTTACTAATTATTCATATATCGAGTTGTATATATGTATATATTTTGTGTATATATAAATATTCCAAATGATGTTGATATTAAAATTCTAATTTGTATTAATTGAACTTTGCGCTTAATTTTTAGCAATTTATTTTTATTATTGGTTTTAGAAATGTTTTAGTTTTAGTTTCTTTATTCCATCGTTCGAAAATAACAAAAAAACAAAGAAAACAAATTATAGAAAAAATATATAGTCGTCGTATGTATGTATTTTGTTGTATTTATTGCAGAGCCAAAACTTAAAAGTAAATTAGACACAAAACTAGATTTAATCATACGTATAAATAACAAGACAACTAAATAATAGAACCTACGAAATTTCGTATCAATTTGTTGGGGAATTTACTCTCTCTGTGTTTGTTTTTGAGCTTGAGGTCTGAAAGAGACTCAAATTCTGATTCATAGATGAAAAGTGGAAGAAATGCGATTCAAGTAGAAAAACTAAAACCTCCTTTACTCCCTCTCCCTTTCTCGCTCTCTCTCTCTCTCTCTGTTGCACTTATCAATTGTACAATTCATTAATTTCGTATAATATTTTACAAAGATTTTGTTGTGTCTCGAGTGCAGAGAGAGAAGAGAGCCTGCTTTTATACAAGTTTTTATTTTTGTTTTGTTTTCTTAGAAACGAACACATCGATGTAGAGAGAGAGATATAGAGAATAAATACAATCAATTGTAGGGGATAAGGGATAATATGTAGCTCTCCTCCCTATCTATGTGGGATATACATATACATATTTATAGTATATATCTGAACAATGCTCGGGGCTAGAGAAGAACAATGACTCGGCTTGAGCAAGGCCCACAAAAATGTATTGCTAGACAAAGCCAAGCGCGCTCTCTCCTTCATATATTTATATAGATGTAGATATAGAAAGAGGTATATAGAAGATATAGCACACACACAAATAACTGAAAAATCTCTGACATAAGGATGCTCTCCAACATTTACATAGAGTATACGTATATATATATAAATTGGTTTACTATATATGTAGTTACGATTATAGGGGGTTAATCTCTAAATTTTGGAAAAATCATTTTACATATTAGAAAAACGCATTTTACTTTCGTGTTTACAGCAAATTTTTGTGTGGATTGTGTTTCCCTTCCCGCTCGTTCGTTCGTTTCATTATATTTATTAATTAATTTAATGTATTTTAAATGTAATTCGAAAAATCTACTTAATGAAAGTTTTGTTATGTTGGTTAACAATTGTTTTATACCGCTTGACCGCTTCTTCGTTCCATATTTTTTTGCTTTTTTGTTTTTAAATTTAATTTGCTTTAGCGATTGATTTTTTATATATAACATCACATTATAATAATTACTAATTAATAGATTTTTCCGTTAGCAGCTTCTCCGCTTCTTTCGATTCTCTTTCCCCATTTTTTTTGTTTTGTTATAATTTTTGTTTGTTGCACAAATATGAAATTTTTGTAATAAATATTTGTCTTTTTAAATGTAGATATTTTTATTAAGGGGCTTGAGTTTTTAGTTTCACTTTTTCCGCAGAACAGAAATTATAATTATGTGTATAATAATAATTATAATGACTATTTACATGGAAAAAAATCGAAGTAATTGTTCTCGTAAATAGTTAAATAGTATCTGTGTTTTCGTAGCTCTCTGTGTGAGTGTGACCTCTCTCTTTCTCTTCGAAACATTTAAAGTGTAACATGGCAACACGTGCTAGCTCTCAGATCAGGCAAAACGGAAGGAGTTTTGTTGGGGGGCGGGAGCACAAATTAAATTATGAGACATCTGGGAACTGGGGTATGCGGGGATGCGGCAGCGTCTGTTGCGCTGCCTCCTCTGCTGGATGTTGCCTCATTTACAGCAAATAAACTTGATGAAATTTAATTTGTGCGAACACCGAAAATGCTTGCTCCAACTCTTGGGCTCTCGGCTCTCTCTAGGCTGGCTCCATTAATTCTGGCCCAGGACCCAAGGCCCCGTCTCGGTCTGGCTTAATTATAACCTCCGCTGGCTATCCTTTTGCCTCCATGCTACGTGACTTCTGGTTCTGGTCCTGGTCCTGCTCCTCCAGTCATTTGTATGCATTGTGACTGCTTTTGGCTTGGGCTTCTTATTTTTCATTTTTTTTTTTTTTTTTGTATCTAAAGGAAGAAGGAGAAAAGATGTGGGGAAAAGTGTTAAGTGATTATTAAGAAAACAGTCTGGAATTCTTGCAAATATACTCTCTCTCTCTGTCGCTCCCTCTCTCTGTCGCTCCCTCTCTCTGTCGTTCTACGATTAATGAGAAAACCCTATACATATCTAAAGATCAAACATTCAAAGATATTTCGAAAATTGACCCGATAAAGGGATGGTTTTTAATATTCTAAATGCCCGTGTGTTATGAAATAATATTCATCTGTTCATCTCTGAATGTGTGTTTTAAAGGACGTTGCATGCCACTTCCTGTGGCGACAGGCCATGCAAAACGGAAACGAGATTATCAAACGGTGCAGGCTAAAGGATCGGAAAGGTCAAGCAACAGGAAGTCGAGTTCCACACACAGACTCATGCCC